TAAGTCATTAATATTATATCTGCACGTCTGTTTGCTGCTAAATCATCATTCTTGATTCAGTCAAAGTGTTACCAGATCTGTTAAAAGATTTACAGATTAGAATAATGTAAACCTGTGTACTACTTACTTTTAATATTACATAGTGATCTGACCCTGTATTAGTTTTTATGAGGGTTAAAATCAGTGAATTTCAAATTTTGTCTCTTTTATCTTTTGTAGATTTGGTCCCGAAGGCACTTAATTCTCTTCAAGAGCAGAAGACATACATTGACTGCACAGAAGCCTCAATATTTATTTATTTATTTTTGTTGGAAGCAGTCTGCTTCTTCAGAGGCCAGTCCTGGTATAATCTGACTGGATGTTGAAGTATATCACAAACAAAGTCCAGGCCTTCATACCTGAAAGTTTCAGAAGGCCAGCTTCTCCCAAACAGCTCTGTGATGCTGTTGAAAAAAAAAGCACACGGCTCTGTGATGCTGTTAAAGAAAAAAGCACACGGCTGGGACCTCCTGAAGACCCTATGGCTGTGTACGCAATCCCCCTACAAACTAAACAAATCAGTGTAGATGGGTGCAAGCATTTCAGTTATGGGAGAAAGTCAAACAAAAGCAATTGCACCATAATGGTTCTCGGAGCAACTGGAGCTGGAAAGTCAACTCTCATCAATGGGATGATCAATTACATTCTAGGTGTCGAATGGGAGGATTCGTTTCGCTTTAAATTAGTTGATGAGGGTCAGTTGACAAGCTCACAGTCAGACATCTGAAGTTACTGTGTACAAACTGTACCATCAGGAGGGGTTTCAAATAGACTACTCTCTGACCATTGTCGACACTCCAGGGTTTGGAGACACAAGAGGCATAGAAAGAGACAGGATGATTGTAGAGCAGCTGCGTAATCTGTTCTCTGCTGATCTCGGTGTAAGTGATATTCATGCTGTGTGTTTTGTAGCTCAGGCGTCTTTAGCACGACTCAAACCAACACAGAGATATGTGTTTGATTCAGTACTCTCGATCTTTGGCAAAGACGTGGCAGAAAACATCAGGATTCTGGTGACATTCGCAGACGGCCAACGCCCACCAGTTTTAGAGGCGATCAAAGCTTCAGGTGTCCCATGTCCTAAAACAGACAACGGGCTGCCAGTTCACTTCAAATTCAACAATTCAGCTTTGTTTGCGTACAACAAACCATCTGAAAGAGATGGCAGAAGTGAGGATGATGAGGATGGAACCTTTGATAAGATGTTTTGGAACATGGGGACACAAAGCATGAAGAGATTCTTTGTTGCTTTGAATCGCATAGAACCCAAGAGCTTGACTTTGACAAAGGAGGTCCTCAAAGAAAGACAGCGGCTTGAGAATTCAGTTGAAAAATTGCAGGAGCAGGTTAAACTTGGGTTAGCGAAGCTTGAGGAGATAAAAGAGACAAGTGAAATACTTAAAGAGCACGAGGCAGAGATCAGCAGAAATAAGGACTTTGAGTTTGAAGTCACTGTCAAAAAGCCTGTTCAAGTGGATATTTCTGGTACTGGACTCTACATCACCAACTGTCAGCAATGTCACTTCACCTGTCATGAGATCTGTGGTATTGCAAATGATGCAGAAAAATACAGCTGCTAAGCATTAAGAGATTCTTTTTTTGCTTTGAATTGTATAGAACCCAAAAGCATGACTTTGACAAAGGAGGTCCTCAAAGAAAGACAGCGGCTTGAGAATTCAGTTGAAAAATTGAAGCAGCAGGTTTAACTTTGGATAGCGAAGCTTCAGGAGATAAGAGACAAGCGAAATACTTAAAAAGCACGAGGCAGAGATCAGCAGAAATAAGAACTTTGAGTTTGAAGTCACTGTCACAAAGCCTGTTCAAGTGGATATTTCTGGTACTGGATGCTACATCACCAACTGTCAGAAATGTCACTTCACCTGTCATGATAACTGTGTTTATGCAAATGATGCAGATAAAAAACGCTGCAGTGCGATGGGATCAGATGGATATTGCAGTGTGTGCCCCGGCAAATGTTACTGGAATGTACATTTTAACCAGAAATACAAGTGGAAATATATTGAAGTGAAAGAAAAACGAACAGTGACAGGCTGGAAGAAAAATACCTAAAAGCCACAGAGGGTAAGCCAGGCATTCAGGCCCTGGTTGACAAACTGAAGGCTGAATATGATGTGCAGCCTGAGGTGGTGACCTTGATGGAGACATCTGCAAAGTGTCTAAACAGACTTAAGGAGATCGCACTGAAACCAAATCCTCTCTCTACTCCAGAGTACATTGACATGCTCATTGAAGGAGAGAAATCTGAAGCCAAGCCAGGCTGGAAGCAACGAGTTAAGGCCCTGATAGAGATGAGAGAAAAAGCAGAGTATATGGCTAAAGTAGAAAAAGGGGAGAAACTGCTCCATCGTCAAGAGTCTCAACAAGGTGTCAGCAAACCTGCAAAAACAGGTCCTGGTGAGAACCCAGAAAAAGCCCAGGAAACGGAGGCCATGACGGCAGGGCCGCAGGGAGAGACGGCAGTTACGACGGTAGTTAATTACTGAGTGAATATCTCTGCTAATAGAACCTCAAGCAGTGTTTGGAGCTTTTATATGTTTCACATATGCCACCTTAGTGTGACAGGTTAAGCTTTATTCCTATGTTCAGGAGTTAGCACATCGTGGCCTTCATTCAAAGGGCAAAACTAGGCCTCATAGAAAAAAAAATCACATCTACTGACATTAGGTCTACAATGCCAAAACCCCAAATCCACCTGTTTTTCTAGAGCCCAAGGTTTAAAAAAAAATTCCCCATAGTCAGATGATGGCTAAAGGTAAAGTCAGACAGCTGCAGCAACATCTCAGTTTGTTGTTTTTTTATTGTTCCACTTGTTGTCTTTATGTTTGAAGCCTGAAATGTGGCAAAAGGTCGCAAAGTTCAAGGGGGCCGAATACTTTCGCAAGGCACTGTAATTACCTGATTTTGTGCTACAGCCAGTAATTTAAAAACTTGTTCACACCACTGCAACAACTTAAAACCTGGATAAGAAAGTTATGACAGTAATAATGTGCTGTCAGCTTCTAGTTTCCAGTTTTAAATGATTTTTTTAATCTGCTGTTTACTGTTTTTTTTTCTTTGTAGTTTTTTTTTAGATTGATCACAGAATAATAATTTCCTTAACTATCCTGCTAAGAGAATGTCAGTTAAATATTCTGGATGAGACTCTTAAGATGATGTATATTCTTAAGCCTAATATGATTGATGATATATTTTGAGCACTGTGTGATTCTGATAGTCATTTTATATCACTGTTTTGATGTGGATTATAACTTTTGGGTTTTACAAAGTACATGCTATAAAGTATTTCTTCTACAATGCAGGTGTGACGTACATTCCAGAAGAAGTTTGTTCTGTTTAGATTCACTCTAGAATATATGATTTGAGTGAGCAGAGGTTGTGATTTGCTGTTCATTAATATTTCTCTATTAATCTTTAATCACAATTTATTTTACTTTATTTTAACATATTTATGGGTTGGCAATATTAGAAGTGTGTTGAAATGCATTCTGCTTACTACAGTTATAAATAAGGATTTCATGTTTGAGACTGTGGTGTTTGAAAATTTAAAGCTCATTACAAGCCTTAGTTTCCTGTCAAACTGAAATGTCATTTTAGCTCTACCACTGGAGTCATTTGCATATGTGCTTCTTATTTTACTGCTTCCCTGGGCAACCAGTAGCTTTTATTGTTATTTGAAGAAAGAGGCTTGCTGTTATTGCACCGTGGGTGAACACATGTAGAGGCTAAAATACACACACATTGAACATCTTGTGGCTGCACCCTGGATATGTAACATAAAAAGGACTGTGACAAAGGAGGAAGAAACTGCTGCTTCATCGTGGGCAGAACAGAGGCATCGGCTGCAGCTTTAGAACATCTTTAATTTTTGTATTTCAGTTTGGCTCTCTTGTATCCCATATAATCAATCTTTTTGTCATTTTTAAACTTTATTAAAAACTTTGATATTTTTCTATTGCCTTCTTCAAGCATCGCTCAGGGGAGCGGGGAGTTTTTTTCCAGAATCCCCGAGCCCTCTCCACCTGAATATGACCAGACACATGTATGACACTTTAAATTCCTTTTCCTGACAGGGATTTAGTGATTATGATGTGCTTTGATACCCTGGGTTTCCTATTAAATTAGGCAGCCTATGAGTTCAGCTCAGTGGTCTGCTAGTGAGCTGCCTGACGACAGTGTGGTAAAGTTTAGTTCCTTTCAATAAATGACAGAGCAATAAGTTGCTAAAATTAAAATCAATAAGCACATCTAGAAGACCACAATCACTTAAACAGTGCTGCTCAACAGAGCTTCTGATAGGGAGGAGAGATAATCCCACTGGTAGAAGAAGGTTATGCCCTATGTGCATTAAAAGGCCTAATTACCTCTTAGATCAGGTCCTCTTGGACTCTGGAGTCTATGATCTAGCAGTCCTGACAAGTAGTGAGTACATTAGGAAATGGTAAATGGTCTTATAGTTGTATAGCGCCTTTCTCGGCTTTACAGCACACTCAAAGCGCTTTCACACTATTCAGCCATTCACATTCCCAAGCACATCACCGGCTGCAACTGGGGGTTCAGTGTCTTGCTCAAGGACACTTTGACATGTTGCCTGGACAAGTCAGGAATCGAACCTCTAATCCTCCAGTTAAGAAACAACCCACTCTACCTCCTGAGCCACAGCTGCCCCCAGACTTTGCCAACCTATAATGTGTGAAAACCTGGGGAGAGAGTTGTGAGTTTATGATCACTGTGCTGTTAGAAAACACTAGGAGACCTCACAGTTCAAACCTTGTCCACAGGGTGGCAGCACACCTTCAGCTATAATGATACACAACATTGTAATCATGGCATAAAAAGAATAAGGTAAACCACCAAAGTATCAATTTCGGAAATGTTCAGAAATTTGCTTGTTACACAACAAGACTACAGCATAAAAAAGTTGTACTTTACTTTTCAGATACATTAAAATTAACATCTGAAAACCATTAGAGTGAATGAATGTCCTCCATGTCAGAGGTCACACAGAAATTATGTTCTATGATATAAAGAAACAAAGGTCAAACTGTTTTCTGTCTCCATTAAAACTTAATGAAGTGGATTGAGTCAAAGCATTAAAGGCAGTTCAGCTGAGGGTCTGATGAGGTATCAGCCCTGGACCCACTGAGACATGGAGCCTGAAGAGTGCCAATAGAATAACAGGAAGCAAAGCACAGCGTCGAAGTCTTGATGTTTAGATGTCTCATCCATCCATCTACCTCCAACCTCTGTGGCCTGGCAGGCCCAGCATTAGCCCTGAATCAGGTTCCCCAGTGTT